CAACAAGAGGCTCTTTCTGCTGCTTCCCCAGTCCTGTGCACAGCTGTTTTCCTGCTTGTTCCCTGAAACTCCAACTGTAGTGTGCGACTGTGCTGGGAAACCTCTACACTCCACTTTTACAGGAAACAGCCATACTTAACACCTTTTCTCTCCACACTCCTGGATGAGGTTATGGTATTTTAGATTTGTCCTTTTTATGAGACTCATCACAGCCGTTTTCCCATGGCCGCAGTGGTATTTGACTTCTGGTGCCGTCTCCGCCGGTGTTGTTTGAGCAATTCTTCTCATTAGTCATATTTCAGTCCTGCCCATTACCATTGTGTCTCGCCTTTCAAGCTTCTCGTCTTCTCCCACTTTCAGGAGACTCTGGGGGTATTATTCTGTTTTGTAATCGGTAACATGTTGCGGTGCCCTCTTGCACGTAGTGTACATCAGGTTTCTAGCCTTAACGACCCATGCCAGACTTTTCAGCCGTCTTTCACCTGTCTTTCAAGCATCACCAATCAAAATCATTCTTGTTTGCCATCCAGTCTGTTCCTGGATGTCACCGGTTACCAGAGTTTACTTGCTGAATAAGATGCCGCAACTGCAGATACTCTATAGCACAGGTGTTGAACTCCAGGCCTCGAGGGCCGGTATCCTGCAGGTTTTAGATGTGTCCTTGATCCAACACAGCTGATTTAAATGGCTAAATGACCTCCTCAACATGTCGTGAAGTTCTCCAGAAGCCTGGTAATGAACTAATTATTTCATTCAGGTTACCCACGGTTATATCTAAAACCTGCAGGACACCGGCCCTCGAGGCCTGGAGTTCGACACCCCTGCTCTATAGGGTAACAGTGACCTTCCACCTGGATCTGCTGTGTAGAGCAGCTTTGACGTATTGATAGCTCCCCTTTTAACTTTCTTCTGATTGGCTTCACCTGGCAAACAGAAGGTTTAAAAAGCAGGTGGGTGGTGCTTCTGTAACTAATCTCTACTCTGTGTGTCTCTCTGTGTCACTACAGAGTCAGAGAAAGAAGTAGGACTTCTCAGAGATATTTTTTTTCTTTTATAAAGATAACAATGCCGATCTGATTAACAGTCACTGCACTTATGCTTTCTCACACCCTGCTTATAACGCCCCTCCCTTGCCCATTGGCATCAGGCAAGGCAGACGAGTGGAGACTGTGCAGCTTCTCTGGCAGATCACCATATAGGTTAGTTGTATGATGATTCCTATTCTCTAGCACTACCAGGTTACACTTAAACACTGGTTGTTTAAAATTAAAGAAAAGATTTAGCACAACCTAGCATTTGGACACCAAGTGTTACTGAATACCTGCAACCCCTTTATACAGTAAGGTATTCTAAATATTGCTCCCTTAATAATATAATCGCAATCACCGCCCAAGTAAAGTGTTAAGGTCATCTATTCAACTGCTCGTTAATGCAAATATGTAATCATCCAGTCTAATGACTGCATATTTATGCATTTAGGTATGTAGACGTGGCCCAGAGAACCTGCTGAAGTTCAAACTGAGCATTTAAATTGGGAAAGAAGATTATTTAACTGACTTTGAATGTGGCCATGGTTTTTTGCTGCAAGATTCGCTGGTCTGTGTATTTTAGAAACTGCTGTTCTACTGGGATTTTCCTGCACAACCATCTCTAGGGTTTACAGTGAACGGTCAGAAAAAGAAGAAAATATCCAGTGAGCAGCATTTCCCGTGGGTGAAAATGTTAGAGGTCAGAGGAGAATGGCCACGCTACTTCCAGCTGATAGAAAGGCGACAGTAACTCAAATAATCACTCGCTACGACCAAGGAATACAGAAGAGCATCTCTGAATGCACAAGGCGTTGAACATGGAATCAGATGGGTGCCATTCCTGTTAGCTAAGAGCAGAAAACTGAGAATACATTTCACACAAACTCAACAGAGTTGAACAATGAAGACTGGAAAAACAGTGCCCAATCTAATGAGTGTCCATTTCTGCTGCAATGATCAGACGGTAGGGTGTGGGGGATATTTTCTTAGCATACTTGGGGCAGCTTAGTATCAGTTGGGTATTGTTCAAATCCCACAGCCAACCTGAGTGTTGTTGCAGACCATGTCCATCCCTTTATGACCACAGTGTACCATCTTCTGATGACTGCTTCGAGCAGGATAATGACAAAGCGATCATCAAAGGCGATCGTGGCTCAAAGAGTTGGCAGTTCGTCTTGTAACCGGAAGGTTGCCGGTTTGAGCCCCGGCTCGGACAGTCTCGGTCGTTGTGTCCTTGGGCAAGACACTTCACCTGCCGCCTACTGGTGATGGCCAGAGGGGCCGATGGCACGATATGGCAGCCTCGCTTCTGTCAGTCTGCCCCAGGGCAGCTGTGGCTACAACTGTAGCTCGCCTCCACCAGTGTGTGAGTGTGAATGAATAGTGGAATTGTAAAGCGCTTTGAGGGGCCCGAAAAGCGCTGTATAAATGCAATCCATTATTATTATTATTATTATTATTATTATTATTATTATTAAAGCTTAAATCGTCTCAACACAGTCACCAGATCTCAATCCAGTAGAGCACCTGTGGGATCTGGTGGGACAGGAGATTTACATCGTGGATGTGCAGTCAGCAAATCTCCAGCAACTGTGTGATTCTGTCATGAATCTGTGCCGTAGAAATTAATGGCAGTTGTCTGGATTTATAGGACATGAAGACTTGGTGAGCTAGAGTTGAGCTTGACACAACAGGAGCCAGATTCAGCTTTACCTCAGAATCTTTTTACACCTTCATGTGTATTTCACTGGGATGTGGGCTGGTAAGTGGTAAATGCGATTGCCTCTCACTTCACACAGGATCACAGAGATTAGTAAGTGTAGGCGTTGGAGTTATTTTTGTAAAATACTACAAGTGCTGGTGTTTTGCAAAATATATTCAAAGAGCACGAGGAGTCCATGACAGCCTTGATGTCCTCGTAATGTTCGGTGTTAAAGGTTTCCCCAAACACCCTCTTATCCTGTACACAATCTTTCACAGGCAACACAATATCTACAACATCCACAGAAAATGAAAGTAACTGAGAGAGCAATATTAGGATTACACTGCGAGGATGAATTTTCATAATTTTGGCAGCAATATTTATCACACTGACACTGCTAGTCATCAGTCTGGGGATGGTGGTGTGAGAAATGGTATTAGATATAAGTATTTTTCTTTACTTAGGGCTTGAGCTAATGAGTGTTTTTATTATTGATTAGCCTCCTTTTTTTTAAATAAATGCCCAGCACTGTTTTGTTTTCTTTTTTCTTTTCAGAGCCTAGTCAAATCTTCATATAGTTCTCACATTTTTGCTTAAACTTATCTGATGATAAAATTGCTGGCAATTCATCATAATTAACCACTGTGTTTTACAAGCTGAAAGTTGTAGAGGAAAGAGAGAAATCATTTCTACTCTTGATGTTTTGTAGTGTGTTTTGTGTAGTTTAAAAGAAAATGCCTTTAATAAGCCACTATTAAACTTCAATGGCTGAAGTCATTATTGAAGCAATAAAATAAGCCCCATTGAAGAACTCCGGGCTTTAGATAAATGCAGATGGAATCACAGAGTTTGTGTTTAATGCTGGATGCGTGATTGTATGACACACGTACGCAGCAGATGTTTTGAAAAACAAAGCAACATGTTGAAGCGAGTAGGCGGTGGAAACGCATCTTAAACAACTGAGAAAAGCAACACGTTGTCCTCATTGAGAATTCAGAGTAATTGTTTAGTTTCTGAATGAGCTGTTCAGCGGAGTTTGTCAGCTCGAGGTAAACAAACGGGCAGCAATGCGAGGCAAGATATTGATATGTTATTAAAATTAAAATTTTATTTGAAAGTATGGATTTCCGAGGAATTCGAGCACTGCTTTATTATTTATGTGAAGGATATTGATCTAATGGGAAAACGTTTGAGTGCAAAAATCGAAACGTGGGGGGAAAAATGAAGCACAAAAAGTGGAGATCAGGGGCAGATGAAGCGTTGTTGTATTTGTCTGTGTGTGCAGAGTGTGTACTGCGGCATTATGGCATGCTGACTTAACTGTCGAGCCTTATATTGGAAGCCTAATTCAACAAAGCACCTTACAAACCCCAATGATAAACCTCCTGCAGAAACCCTCATTTCCTCCAGCATCCATTTTCATCGAAGTGCTCCTTGGTTTGTAGCCACATTAAATCTGTTTATTTGTAAAACCAAACTGCGCAACCCTTTTGGGATGAGCTTCTGTGGGGAACAGGTAGGGCACTAAAAGCCACTCTGTGACAGAAACCGCATCCCATCAGTGTAAATATGATTCGGAGCCTGCTAATGCAGCTAAAGGGGGGAGGGGAAAAAAAAAGATGTCCTCACATCAAAAGAAGTCCCTGCACCCAAACTAAACTGTGCTTCCAGTTGCACGCAGTTCAGGTCTCGGATTTTATTGGGTTACTGAATCATAGCAGAAGTCCTCAGATTGTTTGTGAGCTGGCAGCCTAACCCTCAAAAGATTACAAAAAATCAATTCTATTGTAATCACAGATTGTGACTGGAAGGGCTTAAATCTTGGTGTGCCTGTGCACACGCCTGTGCGTGCGCGTGTGTGTGTATCTATGTAAGTCTGTTCGATTCTGCTGTTCTACTTGTCCCTGCTCTCCCTGGACAAAAACAGACTCCTTTTTTTTGAGCAGGTTCAGTTCGACCGCAGGCGTGGCGTGTCGCTGGGAACTGGGGGGAAATGGGGGGGAATAAAAACAAACATGAGAGGAAAGACAATTTTAGAGTAGTGGGAATGTTTCTGTGGATGTAATTGACTGGTGAAACCTCATCTTCTATCCTAATCCCAGCATAAGCCATAGTTGATACTTTGCAGAGCGCTTGGGACTCAAAATATGTTCTCTCTGTGATTTTTAGATTTGATTGTGTGTTTTCTGAATGTAAATGAGCCTTATACGTGTCGTTTTTACATTTCCTGCTGTGAGTGGTGATATTTTTTTTTTTTATCTCTTCTGCAGAGGTCCTGATGAACACTAAGACAGAGACTTCAGATCTCAAATGGACCGTCTTCTCCCATGCCAAGCCACAGGTATGTAACCTCAGCTTCACTGTGTTATCTGTATTCCTGCCACAGAGCCTAGTGGTGACTGGGGATTTTTGGCCTCCAGCTGTTCCTTTGTTACTTTGGCTATAAAAGATTTCCTTATATGGCAGGTAACTGACAGAGTAAAAGAAACACCAGAGTGAATGTGGGATTTAAAGTGTATTGAAAGCAGATGCTTTGATAGATCTCATCAACCTTGGAGTCGAAGTCACAGGCTGCTCGCAATTTTTGGTCCTGCAGCCAGAAAAAGACATATTTGTAATTTGATCAGCTGAGTAGTGGTTGCTAAGGTATTTCTGCCAGCAGCGTCTGTGACCAGAACTGCTCAACTTGCCGATTGCCTTGGAAGGAAACTGGTCCCAGTGATGGCTGTAGGAGGATTTCTGGTGCTGGACTGAAATACTCAACAAATGTGTCTGTGCTTTTGATTAAGATGCAAGGCTGAAGCAGGCAGACTGTCTCTAAATAGCCTGCACAGCATTTATCATTTGAAGCAGTTTATCAAAAGCTCTGTGTTGTCAGAAGAGTGGCCGGGTTTGTGTTTTTAAGCATTACCTTGGCACAAAAGAGTATAAAACCGTGATTTAGTCAATGATGACAAGCAGCGGTGGGGAGATGCCACGAGCTGTCTGCTTCAAAAAGTGCAGACATAAAAGGGATACTGTATTATTCTTTATTTTTAGGATTAAAGGATTATGATACCCTTGTAGGAGATATTTGTGGCAACTTACAACCCAGTCAGATAAAATGTTCTGGCTTCTCAATTTCAAAAATGCTTGAATGTCACTGTTGCATTAATAATTCATGAGGAAGCCAAATAAAGCTAATATTCATATTAAACCTTTTGGTGTAATGATGCGAGTGTGACAATTGTTTTAATGAAACAGGGATGTGCTTCCGACTAAATCTGTCACAGTTTGACCCTGTTGCATATTAACACATATCTATGGGCCTCCATCACACAGACACGCACATTTGAAGGTAGTGCCATTGCGCTCTTTGTGCAGAGAGCATGGCTCCCAGTTTTTGAGCTTTTTGATTAGTTGTGCATCCAAAACTTGACTGTCCTGAAACGACTCACAATCTTATTCATGAATCACTTGCCCTTTCTCACATATTAAGTGTATGCAAAGCTTTATTTTCATTTCATTTCATTCCGAGCAGGAGCACAATGCAGTGCACAAAGCATAAGCTCCTTCAGAGTGTGTATCACCAAACTATATAGATGCTGTAAACCGAAAATGTACGTAAGAACGATGAAAACCAAAAGTCAGTACAAGGAGTAAGGTGAAAAAAAGTAATAATTATGATCGTTTGTTGTCCAGTTAGAGTAATAAAAACCTTCAAGATGAAGTCCACAAACAGTCAGAAATAAAGTAAAATGATCATTAAAGCCAAACAGCATGGATAAGCAGGACAGGTTTTAGTTTATTTAGGTTTTAATTATTTCCACAATTAAATCACTGATAATTTACTAGGTTTTTACAGTCTGCATTAGCCAGCATCAGATGCATTCTCATTACTACATATTCAGTGGCCAATTCATTAGTTACCAGGTTGGACCCCTTACACCTTCGTGACTGACTTGAACGCGTGGCATAGATTCAGAGTGGCACAGATTCAGAGTGGCACAGATTTGTTGAACAGCAGTTTCTAAAATACTCAGACCAGCCCATCTGGCAGCAACAACCATACCACATTCAAAGTCACTTACATCACCTTCTTTCCCCTTTTTAATGCTCACTTTGAACTGCAGCAGGTTCTCTGGACCACGTCTACATGCCTAAATGCATAAAGATGCCATCATTACACTGGATGATTACATATTTGCATTAACGAGCAGTTGAATAGATGTGTGGGAAAAATCCCAATTGAGCAGCAATCCATCTGACAAGAACAGCCATGCAACATTTAAAGTCACTCGAATCACTTTTCTTCCTCATTCTGATGCTTGTTTTGAACTCCAGCAGGTTGTCTTGACCATGTCTAGATACAGACATTTGATTGGCTGACTAGATACCTCATGAAGACATGTGCCTAATGAAATTGCCAGTGTTTGTATATGTATAGTATTCGTCTAAGTTGGATTGGCCATGTGTGCTACCTACTGACTGCGACTCCACCAGAGGTTTACCTGGACCATTCTCACATAGGTGCAGTTAGCCATGAACACACACTTTATGCTAAATAGCTGGCAAATCAAAGAACATTTATTGTCCAATCTGACTGCGTTAGACATTTGCTCTCTACGTGTCTAGTAAAGTTCAGCTTGCAGGGCATGCGTGAAAATGGCTCTAAACAACAAGGCGAATCAATGATTGTAAAAGATTGTTGAAATGTCATCAGTGCCGGATGTACGTCGTAAATGTCATCCGCTGTGATGTCGAGACTTCAGTACTGTTAAATACAGAAGGTGTGACTTGCTGCCAAAGAGATGTAATTATTTTTTTCAGTAGGTAATCTATATCTTGTAAAAAGTATTAGATTACTTAAGTAACACTGCTTTTTTTCCCCATTTATGTAACTGCACTTTGTCTGTGTACTTGTAGCTCATTCTCTCATTTGCCTTCAAGTCACACTTCTCTTTGAATGGTTTTTGTCAAATCCAGATGAGTCCTCACAGATTCGGTGCATCTTCATCACAGAAAACATTTTGTTCACAGACACATGTGCTGCCAAAGTCCACGGTATTTATTTTTTTGGGATTAGAAGGGAAATTCTTCTTTCCAGCGTCTCAAACCTGGCTCTCGGTGCTCTGCTGCACTGTAATTCATTCACACCACAATTCTGCCTCACTCAACACATCATCTGCAAATGGATTTTTAAAGATTTACATATTTACATAACCGAATTTCTGAGCCTCAAGTTCAGCAAATCTGCTAAATTCTGCCCCGAGTATGTTAATTTCTTGCTTGTTTCCCGCTCTTGGGAACATAGTGATGGTGAACATTTTGCTGTTGACTCAGAAGTCAAACATTAAAGCATTTTTCTGTTGCATTTTGCTGCCCAACAAATGTAGATTTCTGTGCAGGTTTTTTTTTACTTTGCTCATATTTGCGATATCCCCTCTTTATTCTTGTGTTTTAGGCTATAAATGTGTTTGAAAGGTGAAAGCTTTGTCTGTCTCGGATGCTGTTTGCAGAAGTGTGCTTTGTTTGACAAGTGAGACTTGTATTCCCACTAGCTGTGCTGGAGCTCAGTGGGAGGAATGATTTAACAACCCAGATTCAAATTTGGGCTGGATTAAAATCCACAGTGGGCCAGATCTGTCCCACGGGCCTCTGACAGGTGCAGAAGGCCAACAAAAGATTGTAACATTATTATGATGAATAGGATTTTTAATGTGACCAATTATATAAATACCCCAGTGAAAGTCTTTATAGGTGAAGTAAATCTACTCAGTGCTCACAAGTTATCTGGGTCAATCTGACAGCGCTTTGTTCTCTTTGCTCTCAGTGGGAGGAAGTAAGCGGTTTAGATGAGGAGAACAACAGCGTAAGGATCAATCAGATTTGCCAAACGGACAGTTCGTCCAGCCACTGGCTGCGCAGTGGCTACATCCAGCGACGGGGAGCGTCTCAGGTGTACGTGGAACTGCGATTCACCATGATGGAGTGCTCTTCCAGGAGCACACACCACCGTAGCTGTAAGGAGACCTTCAACCTCTACTACTACGAGGCAGACTCCAACGAAGCCACTGCTACGAACCCACCCTGGATGGAGAACCCCTACATCAAGGTACCCAGCCCATTACATTATAAAAAATAATGCAGGTTTCTTTTCTGTTGGCTAGTCTGATAAATATTATAGGAGCTAATTCGTTGTGTAATTGTTTGAGAAAATCAATTGAATTGAATTCTCATGGTATTGCCACTCGGCTTGTAAGACTGTTGTATTATTATGTCTTGCTCAGGAGGAACATTTTTATATTTGACAGCGTAATAAACTGCAGGGCTTATCTTGATTTTCGATCAGTCTGCCTATTATTTCCACAATTAATCGATTGATTCCACTGTGGTGGCTCTAATTTGCTTTGCTTTACCCAAAAGTATAAACAAGTGATGTATATCAAGAAAAATAGGGGGAAAACTGCCTGAAATGGTTGTCTGAAATTGTACTCTTTAAAAAAAAAAAAAAAAAAAAAAAGCAAATCAATGGAAAAAAAAGTTCTGTCGCAATGAGGGAACTCGAAGCTCCAAATCTAAAGGTTGCCAAGCAGTGAGGACCTGAGAAAAATAAGTTATTGAGTAGCTGTGTGTATTGCTACCAGTGAAAGTCTGTTGCATTGAATTTGACGACTCACAAATATCCTCATAAACTGGATAAAAAAAGCTGTGCATGATGTCAAAGTCATTGTTGGGGAAAAAAAACTTAAATGATGAAACCATTAACAATAAGTATTCTTGCCTTTCACTTTTGCAGAATTATTTATAATCTCACCATGTTCTTGTTTTCTTGACAAACAACTGTTTTTGAAGCCTCATAAGGCGCATGTGTGTACAGCATGCAGTACTGTGAAAAAGTCTACCAAGTCTCACTTCTTTATATAGGATATATGAAGCATATAGGGTAAATGGTGTGGCGATTGACTGAAATGTCTGCAAACAAACATGGTATATAAACAGAGTTTGAAGATGTCTGAATAGCTTGAAACTCAATATTTGATGTGACCATCTTCATTCTTCTACACAGCCTGAACTCTCTTAAACAAGCTTGCCTATAACTTCTTTAGATGTCTGCAAGAATAGCTTTCCAGGCCTCTTGAAGGACATTCAAAACTCTTCTTCAGATGTTGGCTGCCTTTTTTGTCCATTTTCTGTAAAAATGATCCAAAACTTGCTTTATTAATGTTGAGATCCAGGCTCTGGTGAGACCAATCCATGACTGATAGTGTTCCACTGTGTGTGTGTTTTCATTCAGGTATGATTTTACTGCATTGGCAGTGTTTTTGGAATCACTGTCGTGCTGAAAAATGAAGCCGATGCCAAGCAGATTATAGCTGCATTGTGCATCATAATCTGATGGTACTTTTCTGTGTTCATGATTCCATCAATTTTGACAAGATCTCCACTGGCAAACTATGACAGATCCTCCATCGTGTTTGACAGATGGCTCTACACACTCACTGCTGTAGCTCTCTCCTGAACCTCTCTGCACATATTGATAATGGTTTGAACCAAAAATGTCAAAATCTCGATCCATCACTCTGTAAGTCCAGTTATTGTGTAATTTAGCATACCACAACATTTTCCTGCCACTTCCATTTCTTAAGAATGGCCTTTCTGATGAGGCTTCAGTTGGCCAGATGCATCTGCCAGGTCCTGTGTCAGGTCTTTGCTGGACTTTTTGCTATTTCTTAAGGACATGGATATCATATAGTGCCCATCTGTTTGGTTTTTAGGTCTGCGACTTATTCTTGTGTCCTCCACATGCAATTTTTTCTCATTTTTCTTTTAGGACACACTGCACTCCAAGTTATGCCAAGTTTTTTGGTTTACAGCTCTTTGTGAATCATCTTGTTGGTGCAAAAATAATATTTTATGCCTGTTAAACTGTTATTTTTTATTCCTTTGTTAGTGTGAAGTAGCTTAAAAACACTTATCTGAAAATGTCTAGGTATTAGGACTGGACTAAAATGATTAAAAAAGCCAACATGTCCAAAGAAAAACTTTAAAAGACCTTCTTCAGACCACTTTAAAAAGTTACAAGAAAGTCTGGCTCCTTGGAAGCAGGCTCAAGTCTTTTGCACAGTACTGTACACGTTTGTGACGGATTTCTTTTCCCCCTCAGTGTGCAGCTTTTCATACAGATTCAAAACAAGTTTGCAGAGACCAAGATTTGTTTTAAATGTCAGTTTCACAACATCGTCAATGTTCGGGGACTTTTTTAATGTTCCAATCATGTTCTCGCCTCTTGGGAGCAAGCACTGCTTTAAAACCCACCTTGTCAGTGCATTCAATCTGTTTCACAGCCTGAATCTTTTTGTAATGTTTATCTTCTGGGTTTCATTTTCCAAACACATAGCTTAGGAATGCAGCGCAGTCAATCTAATTGTCAAACCTTAGTTGTTGGCTGTGTCCTTGAACACAACACCAAACAGTGGCGTCAAAATAGTCCCTGCTTCTCAACTTCATTACCACCTAATAATGTAACTTTGACAGAAAAATAAAAGTGATGAAATGTTTGCCGTGATGAATTGCCTTTCTCTCCAGCAAGTTTCTCGTCCCTGCAAGTTAAGGTTCAAAGCACACTGTAATAAATGGGAAACAATGGCTGCCAGAAAGGCAGTGAATCAATGTAAAAATCACAGTGGTATGCTTTGTAAAATTTTCAGTAATATGAAGCATATGTAATTTCTAGTTAATGGGCTAAACATACAAAACAATCAGTTTGATCCTTTTCATGGCTGAACAGTGCGTGCAGGAATCTGGATATTACATCTTTTCTCTTTCTCCCTGTCTTAGGTGGACACAGTGGCTGCAGACTTTCTACTAAGGAAGGACGGGGAGAAGAAATTGAACGTGAAGACCTTGAGACTCGGCCCTCTTAATAAGAGAGGCTTTTACTTGGCCTTTCAGGCTCAGGGTGCCTGCATGGCTCTGCTGTCTGTCAGGGTCTTCTTCAAGAAGTGTCCTCCCCTGGTCAGTGCTCTTTCCTCTTTCCCTGAGACTATACCGCGTACTCTTGTGCAAGAGGCACAGGGTGTGTGTGTGGAGCACGCAGCTCAGCAAGGTCCCCGTCCTCGGCCACCTAAGCTCTTCTGCGGGGAGGATGGCCAGTGGGTGGGCCAGCCAACAACCTCATGTGCATGCGTACCAGGATTTGAACCAGCTGAGGGGTACACGAGATGCACAGGTAACGAAGGAGGCAAGGTTAAGCCAAATAAAACTGACATGCGTGCATGTATGCATATAGACTACACCCATATAGGCAACAGGGCAGGCAGACTAAACAAGAACACAATAGTAAGGCGAGGGTGGCGGGGAGTTCACTGAGGGTTGAAGTGTTTGAGAGGAAATGAGAGACCGAGGAAGTTAATGAGGCAGGGGAATGGCTGTGACACAGAGGGGACAGAAAGAGAGGTCAGGTGGAGCAGCACTTATCTCTGAAAGGAAGAGCGGGGTCAAAGGCTTACTGCTGCGACAACTCCTGGCTCAGCTGAGATAGAAGGAGCGCAGGAGGACTGCAGAGGTGAGGGGAGAGAGGGAGGGGAGGTGGTGCTCGGGGTAAAGATCATAACACTTTGAGAACATCAAAGCAAAGCAGACAAAAAAAGAAGGAAGAAGCAGGATGATTCTCTCAGGAGCCGTGCAGCAGCTCTGCCTAATGAGTCCAATTAACAAGCCTCGCGCATGGACTACCCCCACACACGCGCACAGACTCGCCGCATCGCAGCGACACAGATAAATGGCGAGCACTAAAAACACAGAAACAAAAGGAGAAATGCCACATTTTCCCAGGGAAACGCCTGGTTTCATCTGTCTGTGTTTGAAGGTAGGCTGTAGTTTGATCTCCGTGGGTGGTATAATGATTTTTCATAACAAAAAAATAATTTCCGACATTTTGCTCCTGGTGAGGTGGCATTTTCCAGCGTTCTGTCACAGAAGAGAGTTGCAAGGCAAAACATTCACAAGGCCATAAAGGGAAATTGCCTCGCAGAAAAGACCGGACAGTTAATTTGCTTGGGAGGCTGGTCATTTCGGAAAAATGAAATTGACGCCAGGGTTTAAAATTAAAATTCATTTTGCTGTAGACTATACATATATTTTCTGGGACAAACACGAGCATTTAAATATAAAAGTTATGAATGCTGTCAAGTTGATTTAGTGTTTCATCTAAGTATGGTTAGAATATTTAAACCAGGTCTCTGAAATGAACTACTATAAGACCATAAATACTGCTCTGGGGGAGGGGTATATTTCCCCTCATGTGGCTTTATTATTGTTAGACAAGTACATTATAAAGATTCAAAACTAAATAGGTTAGAACTAGCCCCTAATCTACTCCAAAAAAGATTCATTTCTATTTCAAAAGCTTTGTTTCGTTCAGGAAAAAATGCCAGAACCTGAATACTGACTTATCATAATGTGAACTGCTGCAAGTGCTAAACAATCTTACAGCTGAATTCACTGAAAAGTTGCACAGTAATCGATAGCGACGGCTCCTGTAAATCACAAAGTGTTATTTGTGTCATCTTGTGGGAGCTCGAAAGCACCGAGGTTACAGCCGCCTCTTCACATGTGGCAAATTCCTTGCGGTAAATGTCAGTCAGGAACGATCAGCGAGAGCGTTGACCCTGTGAAATGTGTCAGTTTTTCACTGCAGCGATGCTCCCGCTCGGTGTGAAAGTTTCTTGTTGTATTTCTCTCGCTCAGCAGCTGCGTATCAGCCGCCCAGACTGAACGCAGAAAGTAAACACGTTTGCTGCCATTGTGTGCGGTATTAGTAGGGTGACGGCTTATTACACATTCACATGTTAGAACAAGCGCTGGATCGGGCTTTGCTGGTGAGCAGAAGCTGAGGTGTGCACGGTTTCAGACCATGTAGTGGCTGCAGCTAATGACTGTTGTCATTCTTAATTTCTACGTGTATTTATTTTCTTTGATCGATTGATGGTTTAGTCTGAAACGTCAGACGTGGTGATGTTTACTGCGATATGAAGTGAAGAAAAACAGGAGCGGTGTTGTAGATTTGGTCAAAATTGTGCTTAATTGTTTTTCCATCGCTCGACTAATTGATTGTTCAGCCAATCCTTTCAGCATGAGTTCAGACTCCGTTCACGGTGTCCTTACATCTTACTGCTGCTGGTTTGGGCTTTACAAAAGGAGACCTGGAACAATGTTTGAATCAATAAGCGATGACAGTTTTTTCATAAGGACCGCCACATGTCTGGTCTCATTATCCAGATATGGCCAGGTAAATTCAATGATAAGCAGCATGTCAGTCACAGGCAGTTTTTTTTTCCTCCACTAAATTGACTATTAGTGTCAGTCTCATTACTGTGATTGTCTCAGTTTATAGCTCTCATTACATGCTTCTGTCTGTCAATCTGCAACCATCTGGCATCTAAGCACGCCGAAATAAAGGATTTATTTGCAAATTGAGTTTGACCCAGGCCTATACAGGACACAGTGAAGGCGTTATGCAATGTACTGTTGTATTTAATGCTAATGTGCCTTTATTTGTTCTCACATCTTGTCCTCTTCAGCTTGTCCTGTGGGCCAGTTTAAGTCAGGCATAGAGGGACAGTGCAGAGGCTGCCCAGGATTCAGCCAAGCCACCAACAGGGGGGCGTCAATGTGTGAATGTCGCCCTGGGTACCTACGTGCCGAATCAGACACTCCTGACACACCGTGCACTAGTAAGTAAAACAGTGCTTAATCCACATGCAAATATAGAGGTGCTAAGCAACACTCTTTACTGTCTCCTCCTCTCTTTTTTTTGTCTTCCTCTGACACCTCTGATGCTACTTCTCGTTTTTTTTCCCTCCGGTGTCATTTAGCCAGGGTCCGCTGAGCTGCTTTGTGGCTTTTGTCTCACGGCTGGGCATTGAGATGCATGTCCTTTGTGACAGGTTGTTGGTGAGGGTGGGAGGGTAGGGCTTTCTGTCCAAAGTGAAGTAGGCATTGATGGTCTCAAGTGACACATCCATGCGGATTGAGGAATTTCAATTCAGGCTCATTTTGGGTGTGTGTGAATGGGAAGGGGGGTCTTTAATTAGGTGCGCTCTTTCGGAAGGGCCACAAAGCTGATGTGAAACAATGTGACACTCCGCATCAGGCTGTTGACTGTGGCTGTTACCCCTGCAGGTGTGACATAAATACCAACTGGAATTCACATCCACCAATTTTATTTTTTACTGATAACTTTAATTACAAAGACTTATCTTAATAATGGATCTCTTTAAGAAGCTAATTTCTATTATGTATTCTGTTGTTGTATCAGATTGCCTGAGCAGTTCGGCACGTAACGTTATTTTCAATTTGTATGCAAAATTTCAAACCAGCCGAGCCACCTGAAATTCACGCCAGACCTTTTCCCTCCTGAAAATAGGTTTACGTATTTACATTTTTGTGACAGGCGTGGTGGTTTTTAATTAAGCGCATTGTGATTGCCAGGACTTAAAAATGCATCACCTCCAAAAATCCCCTGTTGCCAAATGCTGAATTCAGAATTCATACTCGCCCAGATTGAGCGCGATGTTACTCCACTCGGGTCTCCAATGAGAACACCATTAGCACTTAAGTTAGCTGCAGGCTCAGTGACAAAGCTCTCTCTCCTTGGCAGGAACAGAAACTCATTCACAGTGCCTGAGTGGTCTTGCTGTTTAGTTATGCTTGGCTTGAGGCAATAGCTATCTTCTTACAATTTTCAGGCGGTGATCATTATCATCCAGTTTTAGACAAACGTAATTGCACCAGTTAAATCCAGCAGCACATATGCTCCCGCTGTGACGCAAAGCCACTGCAAGAGCATTGTTCTGCTTCGTGACTACATGTGCGGGCTGAGTAAAATGACTTCAGCTTATATCAGAAATCATAAAGAAACAATATGTGTGGGTCATGGAAAAGTAAAACAGTGGCAAATTGGCACGGCGGAGATCAACACAGAACTTTCATATATTGTAATTTCACCGAGGCAACTTTCCACAGGGGAAAAAAACATGAAGTACGATTCAATATTTTTTCCCATATAACTTAATAATATGTGAAGAACAGCTACTGGTGCTCTCTGAAGGTACTTTATCATAGCAAAAACAAAAAAAATCATAACAGGTGATGCTGCTATATTGATATTGCTTAAACGGTCTTAAGAGGTTTGGAAAATGCTGCCTTTGGGATCAGGAAAAGGCCAGATTGAACGGAATAGTTTGACATTTTTGCGATATTTGAGTTTGATCGGATTAATGTGTAATTCTGTCATGTATACATGATGCTCCAGTTCTGAAAGAGAGTCATGTTCGGTGGGTTATGAAATCCCGAACATGCAACATGCAGGTCTGACCAACCATGAATCCTGCTTTTATGGTTAAGTCAAGCTAAGTGGATGCTGCCTGCAGCAAGAGATTTACTCATAATCAAATTTAACAACATCATTTGTTGTATTTTGTTTTAGTGTATATTACCTATAAGTAAAAGCATTATAGGTAAGCACATACAAGAAAGTTTCATTAATTTTCTCATTCAGCTCTTTTTTTTTAGGCGGTTTGTTTGCATACAGGAACTTGGATGACTGCCAGTTTGCAGTATTTTTTAAATATGGAAAAAGCGTGCTATTTTAACTATTTCTCTCACTGTAGGAACTCCCTCGGCCCCTCGCGGCATAATCCGTAAGGTCAACTTCACCACAGTCACTCTGGATTGGAATGAGCCGCTGGACAGCGGCGGCAGAAACGACCTGAGCTACGCCGTCAGGTGCTCTCTGTGCAGGCCACCAAAGGAAGGGTGCCTCCCCTGCGGAGACGGCGTCAGTTACCGGCCTGCGAAAGACGGCCTGTTGGGTCACAGGGTAGAGGTGTGGGGCCTGCTGCCACACACAACGTATACGTTCACTATTCAGGCACTTAACGGGGTGTCTCAGCTCAGCGAGAAGGAGCCTGCCAGCGAAAGTGTCAACATTACTACAAGCCATGACGGTAAGAGCTGCAGGAGGATGGGTGGAAAGGTATAAATAGTCCGAATTTCACTGTATTTATAATTCTGCTGCCATCTGTGCAGTGCCGCCACTGGTGTCTGTGATTCGGAAGAGCGACTCCACAGAGAGCAGTCTGACTCTGCACTGGTCAGCCCCGACTCAGCCACACTACACCATCCTGCAGTATGAGCTGCGCTACTGTGAGAAGGTAAGAGCTCCCTGACGACATCCCCGAACTGTCCGTTCAGATAGATGATCTATTTATTTATTTTTTTTTTAAGGCTCATGAGAAGAAAGCACTCTCAGTGCAGATGTAGTTAAAGGGTCACGGCACGTGGCTTAGACAATGTGGATCTGTGAAGAAGCTCTCTAAATTGTGCAGTATACACTTTAACAATTGTTTAACAATTAACATATTAGTAACATATTTGCAATGTTTTTTTAATTATTATCTGATGTAATTGAAGTTAGTGTTCAGTTCAGGACAGTTTGACTAATTAACTAGCTCGACATCATCATCTGTTCTTCTTTCACTATTGCCTTGGACTCATTGTTTTTTTTGCTCTTAGAAGGAGCAGCGTAGCGAGGATCAGTGCCACTCCATACAGAGTAACAGAAACCAGGCTGTACTGACAGACCTCCGCCGGGCTAGTCAGTATGAAGTGCAGGTCCGGGCGCGTACCCAGGCCGGCTACGGCAGTTTCAGTCCACCAACCATTTTCCGCACGCTGCCCGATGGTAAGAGGAGGTCTTGTTTTCTCTTGAAGAAGAGCCACACACACACACACATTATTCTTTTTTTTTCTTATTTAAAAGAATCATTTCCAATGGGGGTGTGACAGACATTTATCCCTGCATAATCAATCCCTGCACAGTTTCTTTTATGAATTTATCATCTGCATCTTTGTTGACTCTCTTTAATAACCTAAATTCCTGCCCCCCACCCCCACCTTTCTTTACTACCTATGTAAACCTCCTTTCATGGCTTCTGTCGTTGTGTTGCTCTAACTCTCTCACTTTCTGTCTGCTATTTTCTTGTCTCTCTCTTTTGTTTGCCGTCTCTCCCAGGACGTGACTCTGGCTCCGAGTTCTTGGTACCTGGCATCTTTATCGCTGTCGGGATGCTGCTGCTTGTCACTTTCGTCTTTGTGGCCGCCTACTGCATACGGTGAGAACGGGAGAAAGGGAAATAGGCACAGGAAAACAAGATAGATTTGCAAGTGAAAGAAGCTCGCGGAATAACAGGAAATGGAGCGAAAAGGATAGAAATCAAAAACCAATAACAAACGTGACCCCAATTTTACAGTTTTGCACTGCTTTGTTCTTTTGTTTATACAAATCATATCTTATCAACGGTGGTTTTGCACTCTGTTACCCACACCTTTTCTTTTTTTTCTTCCCCTTCTGTGAAGCAGTTCAGACACAAAGCAAGGCTCATGATTTCTTTTGCTTACACAGCTAAAAGCTATCCTGCTCATTAGAACATTTTCCTTAGGCTTCATTGTTTGAGTAAATAATGTCGGATGGCATCACGGGGAAAAAGAGAGGGAGAAGGTGCGTGCATTTGTGTGTGAGAAGGATGACGATAGAGGTAGAGGGCAGGGAAAGACAGGATGCAGGCGTCCCAACCCTGTTTCCACAGGACAGAACAATAGCTGTGACCTTGTGACACACACACACACACACACACACACACACACACACACACACGCACGCACACAAACCAGTGAGTGAGGCCCAGATCTGCCACTAACTGAGGGTGGTGCATTATTGCTATTTTAGGCTTCTGAGGTGGGAGAGAGAAATGGAGGAAGGCAGCGATCCAGTAGCTACAGGGTTGTTACTGTACTGTAGGGATGAGTTTGCACCAGCAGAATTATAATGGAGCCGCTTGCGTCAAAGAGCAGAACCATATGGGTTGTCTCAGGTATTCAGCACCACCACAAGTCACTGTGTATTGCGTGTTTACAGCACGGACAAAACTGTCCACAACAAGGCGGTGTTGGCTTCTCAAACCATAACAGTTATGATGTATTTTTAAGAGTGCATGTGGCTGAAGTGACCTCTGACCCGTGATAGCTCTGTTATGTGTTGTGCTGTTCTTATTGCATCTGAACAGTTGGTTGATGTGCATTACATTGGGTTGATAAAGCATTAGGAACACTTGTCCAAAAAAAAGTGAAATAAAACATCAATTCCTCAGAGAACTGCGCTGCGATCCTAATCTTGTTTCATTTATACTGATCTCTTTGTACCTGCAGCCGGCACAGCCGAATAAAAGATCCGGAGCTGAGTGACAAAAACAGCCAGTACCTCATTGGCCAAGGTAACACATCAAGGACATGCACGCTTAACCACAGCTCTGATTTACAATTCATTCACGTCGGGGAAATCATTTTTAATGTGACCGGGCTCTCTGTCGCTCATGGTTCTGTAACATTCCTGCTCCCACGCTTCTGTTTGTCTCCCCTCTCAAAGGGGTCAAGGTTTATATCGACCCTTTCACCTACGAAGACCCTAATGAGGCAGTGAGAGAATTTGCCAAGGAAATCGATGTTTCCTTTGTCAAGATTGAGGAGGTCATTGGTGCTGGTAAGCCCATCCGTATGCTTTTCCTGTGATTAATAAATCTGTAAACTTTGCCCTGGTCCACTCATTCTGAGGACTTGCAGACTGCACAGGTTGCGTTTTGTTGTTATGTGTTGTTTTATTTTTAGCATATTGTTCTCTCTCAAAATAACCTTATTTAAAAAATACCTAATTACTAAATTAAATAGATTCAGTGACATTTAAAACCATTGCCCGGATTCTTCTTTATCACTCAAAATTCAATTTGGCTGCAGAAAAAACACAATTAACTGATAAATATGTTCCCAATATTGGTGGCCCTCATTCAAACCAAAGGGCACTGCTAGCTGCGAGCAAGCGTTGCGTTTGTTAAATGTAACAGTTGTCTTCATAATGAGGTAAACTCATGCTGGGGAGGAAAAAACGGCCATAATAGTGTGTTTACGTGTCTGTGTGCTGCAGGCGAGTTTGGGGAGGTGTGTCGAGGACGGCTGAAGATACCAGGAAAAAAGGAAAACTACGTTGCAATTAAAACTCTAAAGGGTGGCTACACCGACAAGCAGAGACGGGACTTCCTGTCTGAGGCATCTATCATGGGACAGTTCCAACACCCCAACATTATCCATCTGGAGGGAATCATTACAGCCAGCTGTCCAGTCATGATCCTGACAGAGTATATGGAGAACGGCGCTCTGGACTCTTTTCTACGGGTCAGTATGAGTCGGACAAACCAACGCCAAAGCACGCTTCTCTCAAAACACTGAAACACACCGTAGTGCCGCTCATTCTCAGACTGAACTGGTTCTGTCCTCTCCGTAGCTGAACGACAGCCAGTTCACACCCATCCAGCTGGTTGGTATGCTGCGTGGCATTGCCTCTGGCATGAAGTACCTGGCAGAGATGAGCTACGTCCACCGAGACCTGGCTGCCCGCAACATCCTGATCAACAGCAACCTGGTGTGCAAGGTGTCTGACTTTGGCTTGTCACGCTTCCTTCAGGAGAACTCCTCTGACCCGACCTACACTAGCTCTCTGGTGAGACAACAGCCATCCTCAGTTAATGCTTAAGGAGAAAAGTCTGTCATTCATTTCATACAAAGTAGTCTAGTAGGATGGAAATCATAGAAATGATCCCAATATGTTAATTTTAATCTCTAGCACAGACATCAGGACACTAATTATCAGCAATAGTGATTATCAGTGTGATTTCTGCACTACAATTAGTTATCAGTTAGATTTTTAAGATTTAAATAAATGCATAAATAAATAGCAGACAGTTTTATTTATCCACATGCTTTTCATCTCTTGAAATATTATGTTGATCATAAAACATTTTTAACTTTAACTTAGGATTTTACCTACCTTCAGTTTCCTCCCCAGCTCCCTGCTGGACCATGTTTACGTGAAGTTTCTGCATCACTCACTTTTTACCTTTCTGTGTAGGGAGGTAAGATCCCAATCCGCTGGACAGCACCGGAGGCAATAGCCTTCAGAAAGTTTACCTCAGCCTCAGATGTGTGGAGCTACGGCATCGTCATGTGGGAGGTCATGTCTTTTGGAGAAAGACCGTACTGGGACATGAGCAACCAGGATGTAAGTTGAAGCAAGAAAAGCCTTGCTGGGCTGTTTCTTAGATTTTTGGAAGGACTTTTCAGGTTTTGTTAGCCGAGTTTTTGCAGTCATTTCAAAACACTTGGAACTAGGTGATAAGTGTTTAAATCTTGACTGTGACCATTAAACTCATGTTTCATGCATGTTTCCGTCAGGTGATCAATGCCATAGAGCAGGACTACCGCCTGCCCCCGCCGCCTGACTGCCCCACCCACCTGCACCAACTGATGTTGGACTGCTGGCAGAAGGACCGGTCGGCGCGACCTCGCTTTGCGGAGCTCGTTAGCGCGTTGGACAAACTCATCCGCAATCCTGCGTCGTTGAAAATAGTGGCTCAAGAAGGAGCAGGGTGAGAGTGCTGATGTGTTTTTACAGTTGGATCAGTGAGGTTTTGGACCACCACGGTGGATTTTAAACCTAAACAAACAAAATGCGATTAAAGTGAAGCTTTTAATTCAAGATGTTTAACAAAAGTATTGCATTAATTGTTCAGGAATTTCCTGTTTATATGTAGTTTAAATGTATTGACCTTACTGTACGCACAGCAAAAATCAAGCATGTCTTCACAATGTCTTATTCTTAGTGTCCATTTAAAGCCCTGACAGTGACAGGGCAGGCATTAGCCTCCTGCTGCCCAATCTTGTGCACCACCTCGGTGTCCTGCTGTGACCTGTCAGCCACTTGCTGTTCCCATTTCCCTGTCTCAACATTCTGCCTGTCGGCTAGTTATATACAGCTAAGGACACTCCACCCCTGACAAATCCCATTGTTTGTCCCTGTCAGTCACTCAGTTCGACTTGTCACCTGGAATGTTGCTGCAGGACATGTATAAGCTCCTCACTGAGGTTTTGGTGACGGTGAATGTAAGTTATTCCTTTGTTTCTGGCCCCTAGGCCGTCCTACCCCCTGCTGGACCAGCGCGCACCTTTAGCTCTCCCGCCGTGTGCTTCGGTGGGTGATTGGCTTAGGGCCATCAAGATGGAGCGTTACGAAGACAGTTTCCTTCAGGCTGGCTTCAACTCAGTGGACCAGCTGGCCCAGATCACCACACAGTTAGTTCATATTCCCATTTTATTGTTTTTCTGCTCAATTATTTTATCCAAGTAAAAAATAGTTTAGGAATTTTTGTCTCTAATGGGTTCATTTTTTTAAATTTCTGTAGGGATCTGCTGCACATGGGTGTGACTTTGGCTGGCCATCAGAGGAAAATCCTTTCCAGCATCCAGACAATGACCTTTCAAAACAAGAGCACTGCAACTGTGACCTTCTAGCTGACCTGCCTCTTATTCTGGACATGATACCAGCACACAGGTGCTGCCAAGTACTGAGGGCACTCTGGATCCTCTTTCTGTGAGCCACTTTGAACACGGACCCGTAAATGGGATTGGCGACTTTATTCGTGACCAGAAAAAATAGGGAGAAAAAACTATGGTGTGAACTGTTGTGCAGAGATTGGCAGGTCTCTGCCACACAGAGGGACCAGGTGATGAAGCTGTGCGGACTGACTGCTTCTTTATTTTTTTGTTCTTTTGTTTTTTGCAGTTTGTGGTCAGTGCTTTTACATCCACCCAAGATTTGGACTCAGTACATGTGGTGAACAAAGAGGAACAGCAGACCAGAGTTTACACAGTTCTGTATTGTCATGTCATTACAAAAAAACAAAACAAAACAAAAAAACAAAACTGGTTTGTTGTCCTAAAATGTCACTTTGATCTTTCACCAAAGGAGACAAAAAAGACGAGAAGAAATGCCAAGATTTTTAGTTTTCGTATTGTTGTGTAATTATGAATGGGAACCGCTCTCGATGCCGACCACGTTACTTCAGAGACACCTTTCACATCAAAACGTGAACATTTTAATGTGAGATTTTACATTTTGTTGTTCTTTCTCCCCCATTTGATTTCAATATTACCTCCTCTTTACTCAGGTGTGATGTGTAATGCAGACTTTGGAGAGCGCTGTACTTGCTCTAATCAGACTCCTGATCTTCCTCAAGTCTGGCTCTCACTTTGCCAGCTCAGCAACATGTGAGAAGAAAGGCACAGAGACATATCAGCACTTTTGTCATTTCAGAGTGAATCGTAATCTTCAGTAACTCCACGTGTTTCTCATGGAGTGTGGTTGGTTATTTCTAATGCTGGTCTTTCTGCTGGCAGCTCAGTTTTATTATAGTCGAGCTGAACAAAGACCAAGTGGACTGAGAGACCATGGAAAACTGTAGAATTGGTTTTCTTTATAGATAATAACCAAGGACGCAGTCCTGGCCTCAAACTTGTTTTTTCTTGATTATAACTGATACATTTTTAATTATCGTATTCTGTATTCTCCATTTTCCAGTGCCATTCATTTGTCTTTGTGAACTAAAATGCCATTTTTATAAAGCAGAAGCCTTTCACGAGTGATTCAGTTCTGTCTCATTTGAATGCACCTTAAAGGGTAACTGAGTAAAATGTGTCTGCTTTTGCTCTGAAGCGATACAAAAAGAGGTTCCTAACAAAAAGCACGAAAAACAATACATGAACTTAAATTTACACTCTAGCTTGTAGCCACTTTGGTTGGTTTCACCGGCAGTTTCGCTCTGCAAAACTAGTGATTCTCAGAGCTGTTGTCTTATTAGCAGGGCAGCACCTCTCACTTTGCCGGATGTAATGTCAGTAAAACATTTCTGCACTTGCACTAAAATGATTCCCTAAAATTTTGGAAGAGGAAACAAAGCACGGCTACAAACTGAGCCAGTCTGCTCAGCGCAGTGTTTTTGCATTTCTCAGAAAACTGCCTCACATACAAATATACAGTTAGCAGGCTCGCTGTATCTGTTGCTTTCACTGTGCAATATTATTGTTACTCATGACCTGCTCACAACACTTACTGTTTGCAAACGCAGAAGACGTGTCCTTTGGGCAGAGTTGAACTTCCAGCAGAAAGTGCCTGTGCTCCAGGAGCGTATCTTTGCATACTTTGTCCATATGAAGGCAAACAAATCTCTTGACACATACAAGTTTGCACTTTTCAATCTTATCCGGGACCTGCCAGGATTTGCTGACTGATTGTTGTGCACTACCTACAGCTGGAAGCAAGGACATATGATGGAACAAAGCCTGGACTCTATGGATACATGGATGCCTCCCCTGTCAGATATCCTCTGCCACTACGATGTAGCAACATTAACAAGTAGTCCAAAGGCTCTGCTCAGTTTGTCTTCAGTGGGTGTAAAATAAATGTCACATCACTCATATAACATCAAATACTCCGTTCACTAAATATTTGTAGAATATCTGTTTACAAGCAGTTTAAGTTACTTCCATGCTACTTTAGCTAACGCACTGATGTCGCTGACATAGTATCTACAGCACTGAAGACTCGATGGGTAAAGATTCCTTATCAGGCTAAACCCGGAAACGTTGGCTGATATCATTTGGAGTGTAATGCAGAATGATTTCATGCAGTCCGGTCTGTCCATTATGCGGCTTGTAACCATAAACGTCTGCATTTTGCATCAAAGGCGTGTCTTTACTGACAATATTCTGGCATTAAAAAGCATGAAAAGACCATTTTTACTTATTTAGATGATATTGTGGTGTCTGCTGAAAATTCTGGGTTAAAATGTTTTTTTTCCTTTTCTCCAGTGCTACAAAATAAAATTCAACATGGGAAAGGATGCACAGCTAATAGGCAGTGGTCAGCTCACCGGATTGAGTGGGTAACCCATATGCTGAAAGGCTGATGCGGAGGCCAGGGTTTAGGCCTGCACTGAGGCTATTTGCTTCATGTCTTCCCCCTGGTCTTTTTAAAAATCTGTCTCTTCACTGTCTTGGTAAAATAAAGGGTTAAAAAAAAAAGACCCAGAATGTGGAAACTGGATGCACAGCTAGCAGTAAGATCTGCAAATTGCTTTCTGCTTTTCCCCCACAGCTCCGCAGAAACAGCTTGAAGTCATCAGTATCTTGTGAAATAAACATTTAACTGACTGGAGTTCAAAATGTTGAAATATTGCTCAAAGATGTTGCAAATGTTGAAGGATGAGACCAGAATTTTTGACATTTATGTGTATTTTACCCCATATAGCAGTGCTTCAGGATACACCTGGGCTACTAAAACATACAGAAATGGCTCAGGTGCACTGAATCGCTTCCAAACTTTTTAGGGTTGAGAGAGTTTTTAAAGTCCCACAAGTGCATAACAGTCATTTGAAATATGATGCAACGCAAACCTGAAAAGTGATGCTGGTTATGACCTTACACCTACCCAGTGACAAACAGCAAACCAACACGTTCCTTTGTAGGCTTCATATTGAAGATCTCAATAATGGCAACTCTGAATAAATGATAATGTTTATCTTGTTTATCCACCGTGTATATAGGTAAACATGAATATTTACCATCATTTCTCAGCTGTTTAACATGTCAGGAGGGCTTTGTAGACAGCCACGCTCATTTTTCACTGCAAGCGAAGCATGGAAACTGTTTAAATAAAAGGATGATGTAGGAGGTCCATATCTGACCTGAAGTGATAACCCACATGGTTTACCTGTCTCCGGTCGTAAGGCAGGCTGTCCCAGTGACCCTGTTGCTCCCGTCCCAGATTCAAAGAAAAAATGAGCACGCAACAAAGCAGCTACACTTTTGTCAAAAGGCGCACTGATGCTTCTGGATGTCTTTGAGCCTTTTTATTCCAGTGCTACTCAATGTGAACTAAATAAATGTTTCTTGGTTGTCTCATTTTAATCTTTGGTTAAATAATGTGTTGCCTAAGATCATGTAAGTAAAATGTCTAATAGGATTTTTCTTTGTCTCCTTTGTGTCAGCCTTCCTTCTCATCTATCCAGTTGGCCCGTTTTTAATAATGAGATGGAAACAAGAGAACGCAAAGACTCAAAATGAGTCCCCAGCTTTGCTTTCTCGCAGCTTTTCCTCTTGCTTTCTGTTCCTCCAGAGAGCCTTTACCCCCGAGGGCTCAAAGCTTGTCCTCTTCTATGTTTCCTTTCCTGGTCCTCAGCCCTTTTAATCATGAAGAGATGTTCTTTTCTTCTCCTGTGCCTTGGGCTGAGAACAGCTTATGGCACAGCATAAGCTTAAACTCTCTCACACACTTTTTTCCCCCCCTTCTTCTTCTTCTCCCATCTCCAAAGCTACAATAAACAAGCTAAGCTGCCAGGGCTTCCAAAAGCATTTAGGCTCATTGATTAATGTGCTTTGATTATCTCTGTGTTACTGACTCATTCCTCTTGTTCTATTGTTCTGGTGTGGACCACAAAGTATAGACCTGCTCCAGTACGGATTTTTTTTTTTTTTTAAGAAAAAGATGAGTAACTGTTGACTGTTGTTATGGTTTATTTTCAGCCCCACGGTGCATTTTGGTTTGCATGAATCCCAGTGTTGGGAGTGATTCAGTGCTTGAAAGAGAGAGATAGGCATTCATGTGGTTTCTACTTCTGTCAGTGCTTTGAGTGACCCCTGACCCTGCTGCATAGTACAAATCCAGCCTCAGCTTTGTCTGTGTATCTGAATGGCCATTCATTAGGGCTGCTGTTGGGCACTGAGTAGACCAGGCCGAGCAAGTTTTTAGCATTTGGTGGATTGTGTCATTCCCCTCGCATTCCTGCGTGCATTCAAGTGTGGAGAACGTGTGTGTGCGTGCATGCTGATGGTCGCAGTGGGTGGGGGGCTACCCAGAGGGACAGGTACATGTGGATTTAAAGGAAAGGGGGAAGGGAGGTGATTTGAAATGGTTTCACCCTGTCTGGAGGAGTAAAACTCTCAGAAAATCTGAGAGTACACACATTAAATGTGTATTGGGAACGGTTTAGTCCAGCTAAGTGCACTCCCACAACACTGCAGGACTCAGAAAACCGATTTTTAAAAAATCTATGTCAAATTTAAAACAGTTGAGTCTGAAATGTTCTGGATTTGAGCTTCTAAAAAAAACACGTTATACCCATATTTGATTGATTATCCTATCTCACAGAAATCTCGGATAAATAAGTTTGCTTTGAGCAAACCCTGCCCCCACAGCTGCTTCATCATTCCACCCTTCAGATTTTGGAAACCACTGACTAATTTCATTTTCCATTAGTCTTCGTTTTCTGCAGCATTGGTTTGATTTTTCCACAACAGCACTTATCTGAAGATGGAAGTTTAGGCTGCAGATTGTCACTCCTATGCCACTCTCCCTCCGCTTCAGCTGCCAGATTTCCTCCCCGAGATGACTCCCAGACAGTTTGCTCAAAATGGCCCAATACTTCTGAGCAAATCCACCGAGCAGCCAGCTAAGATTATTTTTCACCTGTGTACGCATTGTGATTTCGGAGGCACATTGCTCGGCAGAGCGCTTCCACTCTGTTTCGTATTAAATCTGATCACTGGAAAAGTTGTCACTCCTCGCTGCTCTACAGCATTTCTGTTGACTTTGCAGGAGATTGTGCCAGGCCATTGCCGTAAATAAGAATTTGTTCTTTGCTGACCCACCTGATCAAATAAAAGTTGTTGGAATTTAATTATACTTTCATGCTGCAGTACAGTTTTATGTGGAATTAGTCTAGTATTTTTAATCATGTAGTTAATCCACTTAATCAATGTAAACTTTTAGACCACAATCCCCTGCTGTCTCCTCAGTACTGATGTAGAGGAGTATTCAAATATTGTTATATTAGCTACTGTCAGGCTGTTGCTTTCACAGTTAAATCGTTTGGGTTTATTTAAATGTATTTAAATGTAGTGAATAACTAAGATGAACTAATAACTGAGATTATTCCCCACAATCATCTCTAGGGTTTACAGAGAATGGCTCTAAAAGACAAAAATATCCAGTGAGCAACAGTTCTCTGGGCAAAAATACCTTGTTGATACCAAAGGTCAGAGGAAAATGACCAGACTGCTTCAAGCTGAAAGGAAGACAGCAATAACTCAAAGAACGACTCGTTACAGCCGAGGTATGCAGAAGAATGTGCAACACACTGAACCCCGAAGCAGACGAGGTACCATGGCAGGAAACCACACTGTTAGTTATAAACAGACAACTAAGGGTACAACTCACACAGATTCACCAAAATTGAACAAATTAAGATTTTAAAAATGTATGTGTTTTAATTTCAGCTGCCATGTTCAGATGATGGGATCCATGCTGCCTTGTATCAGCAGTTCAGACTGGTGGTCTAACGGTGTTGTGGGGTAGTTTCTTGGCACACTTTGGGTCCCTCAGTGCCACAGCCTAACTGCGTGTTGTTAGTGGCCATGTCCACCCCTTCATGACCACAGGGTACCCATCCTCTGATGACTGCTTCCAGCAGGATAATGCTCCGTATCACAAAACTGAAATCATCTCAAAGAGGTTTCTTGACCGTGACAGTGAGTTCGGTGTACTCGAATGGCCCAAACAACAGTAGGGGTGGGTGATATACCCACAAAATTTTATCAAGATATTTCAAAAAACATTTGTAATAATGATATTTGTGACAATATAGAAAAAAAACTGAAGGAACTTTTTATGGATGCTTGCACCTTTCAGGCAGCAGCATTTGTACGTGTAAGTAAATAAAGGGCGTTTTTCCATCCTTGTTTTCCAATGAGCCACTGTCTCTGATGACAGACTGCCTAATTTGAAGTGTGAATCCATTGAAATAAGGTGCAGCCAGCACAGCATACAATGGTACAAGTCACGCTTAAGTAAAAAGGTAGCCTAGGCAGCGTTTTCCCTGGAAATTTAACACTTTAGTTTAACAATAACTAGAAAAACTTAAGCTTGTAACTCGTCAGGAGCTGCACCATACTGTCACAGATAATAACGCAGAAATATATTTTCTACCTGAAATGTGTTATCTTGGGTTGAGTTTTTTTTAACCAGCTGCATACAGCCCTGCTTTTCCACCATGTAACTCCATCAGTAATTTCCATCCACCGTTTGCTCTTCCTGTCGTATGGAGCGCAGCTTGTGATGCTTGGTCGAGCCATTTGATTACTTTTGGGTCACACATCACCAGCTGCTAGTATCTCATCCTTTGCAACCTGGTTGTACTCGACAGTGTTTTTGCCTCAAGCGGTGAAACGACTTTGTTGCTTCCACCTTTAGCGAGAACAGGGTTCTGACTGTGCTTTGTTGGAGGTTGTTGAAGTCGCTCCCTCTTTAGGTACTAAAATGTCATCAGAGACTGACACCTGTGTTTTACTGCCAAGCATTAATGTAAACCCATGGTGTTGCTATAGCAATGATATTGCGATATGGTACTTTTATGTCACAGAAGAATTTATACCGGTATTATTATGGACCGTGTGATATGGCAACAACAGTCTGGGATAGTAAGCTGTTGGTAAATATTTGTACATGAGGAATATTTCCAGCACCTTTATGAAAAATTAAGACAGTTCTGAACTCAAGAGGGAGTACAACCTGGTACTAGCAAGGTGTACCCAGTAACATGGTTGGTGAGTGTATCTTAGCTAAACCTACAGATGGATCGTTTACTTAGAAAGAACGAATATTTAAACGGTCAAATAGTTGGGTTAGGATGCAGTTCAAACAACCCTTTATTTGTTTTAAGATTTTAAAATGGCTAG